ATGCCATGTCGCATTGTACGATCAATTCTTGCGATTCGTACGTTCGGCGGATCAAGATCTGGTCAAATGCTTGCTGCATGGTTTTCCTATAGTGGGCCGGATCTTGCCTTCGCACAGATGGCCGGCCTATGAGAAGTCGCAGAAGGTCATCCCTGTGCAGGAAGCAATGGATCGGGCCTGGGAGATTCGAAAGAAGGTCATCCTCCGAGCGGACAGCGTTCCTGTCTCGGACGATCTACGTTCGCTGTGGGCATCGTCGATGGAGGATGTGGCAGAAGGATCGGCGGCGGAACCGTTCTCTTCGATCGAGGAGGTGTCTCAGTTTGTGGGAGCGGACAATTGGATCCCCACTCAGCGGTTCGCAGTGGTGCAGAAGAATAAGGTCCGAGGATGCGACAGCGCCACTGTGAATTTGATCAACCGCATCACCGAGATCGTAGAGAAGCTCCAGCTGCCGTCCACGGACTTGAACGTGGCGGCTTTGCGCGAGCTCAGAACGCGCTGTGGCGGCAAGAAGTTGCGAGGGTGGGTCCTTGATGAGAGGAAAGCCTATCGGCAGGTTCCGATAGCCCCTGGCCACCGCAAGTTCAGCGTGATCTGTCTGAAGGACCCCTCTTCAGGCGTGACAAAGTTCTTTGTGATGATAGGTCACTCTTTCGGCCTCGTCTCGGCGGTGTACAACTACAACCGCCGTTCGGCGGCCATTAACGAGATTCTCGAGAAGATCTTCGGGCTCGTGTCCTTTAACTTCTACGACGACAAGTACGGGTTCGAGGCCGAGGAAACGATCGACAGCGCCCACGAGGTTGCGATCACCGTTCACTGGCTTCTAGGAGCACAGTTCGATGCCAAGAAGCTCCAGAAGACTGCGGCGCCTGTGATCCTCGGGGTGACCTATAATCTGGAGCAGATGATTCTCGAGATCAAGAAAGAACGGAAGCAGGAGCTCATCGAGCTGATCGACTCGTACCTGATCGCGGGAGTGTTGGACGCTGGCTCGGCTGGCAAGCTCAAAGGCAAGCTGATGTTCGGAGCGAGCCAGCTCTGGGGGAAAGTAGGAAGAGCCTTTTTCCGACCGCTGTCTGAGCGCCAGTACTCTCGAGATCAAGGAGGTGATCGCTCGCTCCTGACGCCCCAGATCGTGCGCGCTTTGAAGCACTGGAAGCGGCTCATCTCGGCTGGACCACCACGGCCTATCGACCTGCGAACAGAACGTAAGGCGGATGTGGTGGTCTTCACGGATGGGTTCGCGCCTGACTTCCGGAAGGGTGAAGTTGATCCAGAGCGGATCGGCATCGTGGTCTTTGATCGAAGGTCTCCGGCCCCCTTCCAAGTCTCCGAGCCGATCCCCGAGAATGTGATCAAGAAGTGGGTTCCACGAAAGAGCCAGATCTTCCCAGTCGAGCTGATCGCCCCGGTGTTGGCCCTCTACACCTTTCGCGATCTCCTGAGAGGCAGGGACGTAGTCTTTCTTATCGACTCCGAAGGAGTTGAGGCTGCGCTCGTGAAAGGATATTCAGCTCGGGAAGATGTTGCATCAATCGTCGAGGTGTTCTGGAACCTCGCTCTTGAGTTAGGCGTGAATGCCTTTATCGATCGAATCTCGACAGATGCGAATCCGGCAGACTGGCCGTCGCGGTCGCGTCTGGAGATCGGTCGCAATGCTGGGTGGCTGTTGGCCGAATGTCAGTGGCCGCCCGAGCTCCTTTAAGTCGTTAAACTTGGGCCTGGGGTGTTTCAGTTCGATTTTGTTACATTGAAGGATGGCTTTCGCCACCTGCTCACTGCCAGCTCTGATTTCTGGTGCCGCCCGTGCTTTGACGAGTTCGGGAAGAGCGGTTCGAGGCATGAGGCAGCACAGCTCGTGAAGAGTTGCTGGCGAAGTGTTGCAGTATGGAGGCGTGCGTTGAGCGAGAGAGTTCGCTCGATCGGCCATTCCAGTTTTGACTTCGTGACTGCTCAACCCCAGGCTCGAGCAGACGTAAAAAGGATGCTCTCGCATTTTGTTGTTCTTTAAGGCTGTGGCTTCATGTTGTGGTGTGAACAAGCGAGGGGAACGAGCGTTCGCTGCCTGCTAAAGTGGTCTCCCTAACACCGGTAAGGTTGGTCTGGGTTAGGGTGGTCACTTTACAAGCAGTGTGTTCACACTTGATGACATGAGGCCGCTGATCGATCGTGGCCATTTTGGCTGTAAGACGATCGGTCTGCGGCCCTCGTTGAGATTTTTGCAACCCACCCTCCACTCCCTTTGTTGATCATGCAGCGATTGGTCAACTTGGAGGCCCTGGCCTTTGGCACACAGGAGCAGCTCTTCCGACCGTGTGTGGACTGCGGCCTGTTCACCGGCTGCTTCTGCGACGGTTTGGGGCAGCCCTGTTTCGCAGCCATTCGGGCGCCGCGCGAACGCTGGGCACGAGGTCAGCAAACCCCATTGTGCACGCTGTGCGATCGCACTATGGGAGTGTGCCATTTCTGTAGAGGTCAAGCATGGTGTGTTCCACCGAGCCACCACATGCAAGACCCTCAAAGGCCAGAGGAGGGCCAACCAGATGCCGCTTTCCAGATCGACCCCGACGATGCTGGCGAGCGGGAAGCTCCGCAGCCTGATGCAGGCGGCGAGGACGCGGAGCGCGAAGCTTCAGTGTCCGACGCCACTTGCTCTAGCTACGTTGTTGCTGATCAGACAGCCAGTCAACCATGAGGGGGTGTTTCAGTTCGATTTTGTTACATTGAAGGATGGCTTTCGCCACCTGCTCACTGCCAGCTCTGATTTCTGGTGCCGCCCGTGCTTTGACGAGTTCGGGAAGAGCGGTTCGAGGCATGAGGCAGCACAGCTCGTGAAGAGTTGCTGGCGAAGTGTTGCAGTATGGAGGCGTGCGTTGAGCGAGAGAGTTCGCTCGATCGGCCATTCCAGTTTTGACTTCGTGACTGCTCAACCCCAGGCTCGAGCAGACGTAAAAAGGATGCTCTCGCATTTTGTTGTTCTTTAAGGCTGTGGCTTCATGTTGTGGTGTGAACAAGCGAGGGGAACGAGCGTTCGCTGCCTGCTAAAGTGTTTTAAAAATAAGTAAAGTAGAGGGTGGAGGAGGCAATAGGGGGGCTGGGCAGGCAAGCAGCGGGTGTTTGGGTGAGAGCGGTTGGGTGAGGGCGGAGTCTGTTTAATCACTTTATTTTCAGAGGCAAGGGGGGAGGGGGGAGGGAGGAGGGGGTAGGAGCGGGTAGGAGCGGGCAGGAGGTAGTGGGCAGTAGGGGGTGGTAGAGGGTAAGGGGTAGGGGCTAGGGGGTGAGGGTAGTGAGGGCGGGGGTTCAGGGGCCAGGGGCTAGGGAGTAGAGGGTAGGGGGTAGGGGGAGGGTGGTGAGGGTGGTGATAGGGGCAAGGGGTAGGGGGGAGGGGGTAGGGGGCAGGGAAGTGAGGGTGGTGATGAGGGCGTGCATGCTGAGCCCCTTAAATCACAAACTGGAAGCCGAGGCGAATTGCAAGGAATTCTTGCCTGCGATCCAGCACCGACTCTCGACTATGTTTCTTCTCCCTGTGCCAGTGTGCCCAGAGGCAAGGCCCATAAACCCGTAATATCACGCTCATACAGGTGCTTTTGTGAAAGACTCCAGCATGTGGATGCCACATTCTCCGAACCTGGAGACGTTGCTTCAAACCGAAGCTAAGGATTGGCAGTTTATGTGTTCGTTGTCACCGGCTACCACCGTCACGTCGGACATGTTGGGGACTACTACGCAGATCCAAGCGACTTTCCCGGATAAAGGTCTTGTTCCCTTTGCATTGATTGAGAAGTACCCATAGACCCAACAACGAATTCGACTCTTGCATCACAGGCCGTGCATAGCTGTGCATCCTGTCCGGGGTGTTTTGCAGAATGAAGTCATGGCTTCGGACCCAGGCTTGGCCACCATGTCCTGGAAGTCGGGGGAGCCGTATGGAAGGCCAGAAAGCCCTCTCAACCCGCTTAGCTGTCTTAGCTGTCTTAGCCATCTTGGGGATGGTTCAAGGCCTCGCCAGCACATGATCATGTCGGTAGTCAACGTCTTCACATCGATGGGTCAGCCACTCCTGTAACTTGGCATTCTTACTGCCGCCTTGCTTTACAAGGATAGGGCTGACAGCCGACAGCTGAGGAAGGAGGACTACACACACCTGTTCCGTGGACTCGCCCCTGAGCAAGAGGAGGTCCTGACAAAGGCTTGGAGAAGTTTCCAAGCGGACTTGAAGGAGGCGCCTTCGTGTGCGTCAACGCCGTATCGGCATGCTCCAACACGCTCCTGTGCACCCATCATGCTCAGATGTGCACGCAGGTGGAGGAGGAGATTCACCGACAGCGCGTGCACTTCACCAAAGCGTTTCGCACACACAATCAGGATCTGTCCCTGCACAGGAGATCGATCGACGGAATGAGAAGCGTGAGATCCTGAACATCAACATGCCTGGCCCTCAAGGAGAACGACACGACAGTTCTGTTGCACCCTGGATCAGTATCGACACAGCTTCGAAGCAGCTGAACGTGACCGAGGTCTCCTAAGGTTGTCGAGAGCGCAGTGTCGAAATGAGCTGCGGCACTCGACAGTTTCTTGCTGGGTCTCCCCCTGTTTGCATTCCCAGCGGCTTCGAACAACACAAAGACTGGCTGTTCAAGCACCACTTTGCAGATATTTGCAGAAGCAGTGCGTAGCAGATTCTGCTCGCCCGGCTGCTTATCATCGAGCGACGACGGGTGAGGAAGGTGGATTGCTGCCTTGCTGACCCGATCCTGAGGGGAACTGCAGGTTACAGTCACATGCTAACCCTTGCGTAGGAGGCCGTTACCGGATCTGCCACAATAGCATCTGATCACTTCCCACCAACCCTCTCAGGATCCAGCGATCGGTTAGGTTAAAACAAGTATGTTTGCCTGCACGTCTGCCCGTGTTCTCCGCATTGATGTCACAGAAAACATCGAAAGCTTATCAGCGGAAACAGCCGTAGATGAGTAGATGATGAAGTGGTTGAGGTCTACACCAAGCAGTCCCTCACGAAAGCTTCTGCAGAGGCTGCATGTGAAGGAGGCAGCGTGCCCATCCACACAAATTTCAGTGCTGTCCTCATGCAGGCTGACAAGGAATCAACTCAGCGCGATTTGTGGGACAAGGCACCTTTGCCACAAACCATTGCATAAGGGTTTTGACGCCCGTTGAGGGAAGATGTGTGAATATTGATCCCCGTCGCGAATAGTGACACGTTCACAAAGTCAGGAAGCATCTTGCCGAGTCGTCCGTGCTCTGGCACGAGCACAGTCGATCAAAAAAGAGGAGGTATGTCAAGAGGCAAAGGGCTTGGGGCTCAATGATCAGCATTTCGGGCTGAGGTTGAAGGACACTGTTCCCGGCTGACAAGGATCGACTGGAAACGATGTTGCTATGTCTTGGAGGGTGGCGCTGTTGCTTGCCTCTGCCTCTGGTGGTTGCAGGGAGACACAACTGAGCCCCCATGATTGAAAATACAAGGAACACTAATATACTAATTAATGAACACGAATCTGAAGCTGAAATGGAGGGGCAGCCTACGCAGTTGACTCTGGCCTTGGGCTTGACACCTCCGATCGAGAATAGCCAGGGATGGCAAAGATGGCCGCAGCAGCTTTGCGCACCGCACATTGCGCCCCCTGATGTTGAGGTAGTTAGCTCTTCTGCTTTAAGCGCTTGAATCCGAGACACACCGGACTTTCCGGTCGTCAGCTGATGTCACAAATAGGAGAACCTGTGCACCCTCTAAAGCCAAGACCAACTCGGATGCAAAAGAGCAAGTCTGGGAACGCCCCTTCTCACAAGATCACTTGGTTCTTGTATGTCTTGAAGACTTGGCATGTTGCACACAGGTTGCATCAGATGTCGCGCAGTGCAGCCTGGTCGAGGCTAGGAAAGGGGAATGTCGACTGCAAGGGAGAGTGCAGGATCTTGTGTTTTTAAAACTGCAAAGGGGCCGTGTCAATCGCCAACTCTTCTGCGGGAAACTCCGGTCATCTGTAACAGAGCCAAGCTGAACAGGGCTGAATGAATGGCGAAAGGGTCGATTGTTGGTCTCTGCAGCGTCAAGCACGCCGGTTGGCGAAGCGTGATTCAGCAGAGCTTGAGTTTGAATCGTCGAATGCAGAGGTTTGCAGAGAGCAGGAAAGTGTCCCAGGGGGAAACGAGGGATGGCCATGAGTAACAAGATGAACTCTCGTGCAGCAAGACGAGATTCGAGATGCCATCCGCCTCGAATCCGCAATGAGGCACACTTGACCAAAGTCCTTGCCAAGGACAAGGTGCATTCAAAGCATTCAGTTTTTCCAGTCGTTTCAGTCACTGCGATCTGCTCGAAGGCAATCTCCAGGGATCTTTGGAGTCCTGCCCCAGCCTCGAACGATTAGCATTCCCTGTGAGGCTTGACACCAGCCGAACTGTACTTGATTCTATTTAAATAAGATTGGACACATGCATAAAAGGTGGCTGCTGAAATCGAGTCAGGCAAGTTGTACAAGGTCAGAGTCTTAACAGAAACTTTTCTGACACCTGTTCAACACCTGTGTTCGGTGCACTTTCCGAGTTTGCGTGTGTTTACATTTGCATTGCCAGCCCAGAGCTGCCCTGCCGCACAGGACTTTGACCTCGCCCGGGCCAAAGCCATGGACACGCCCGTCGGTCAAAGCGATGCCGAGGCCTGGAAGCGTGCTGTGACCGGAATCAGACGACGTGTGAAGTTTTCACGTCGCACGGATCCGCATGGCCATTCACCGCAGGTGCTTCTTGCAGCTCTGGCTGCAGCCACAGATGCTAGTGATGTGTGGAGTCAGATGGCAGACTGCGTGTCCCTAGGGGGCGGATGAGCGCACGCCACCGACCTCCGTCGGTAACTTAGTAGACATGCAACAGCATGCCTCTGCTGACCTGGCATTCAAAAGTGTCATAAGTTCACAAGACTGACACCTTCGTCTGTCTCACTGTTTCATGAGGTGGACCGATCCTCTGCAGGAGCCAGGTTTGACTGCCGAGTTTGGAAGTTTTCGTGGCATTCAACGGAGCCTTTCCTCGAGCTGCAATCAGGCTGAACATAAATGAACATGCGAGGCGCTCAGAGACTGTCAAACACATCAGCCAGTCAGCTGTCGTAACTTGGAGCAAAGGACTTGACTGCTTCGCCGTCAGCCATGACAGCTTGGAGATCCTGGCAAGCTTACTCCCCACCGAGCGCACCAGCGTCGCTAGGCTAGGCTAGGCTCTGAAGTTTCCTCAGGGCCCTTGAGTTGGCTCGCCGTGCGATCCGCAGCATAAGCAGTTGCTCAAGCTTTCCAGATCGTCGGCCACAGGAATGGCGACAAACAGCTTGGCATTTTTGGTGGCCAGAGGTGGTGCTGCCTCTTCAGCCGCTTCCGCTGTTGCCCAGAGTCGGCACCACAGCGTGTCTTCAGCACCCAGCAGCTTTGCCGTTCGTGCCGGGGCTTGGTCGGGAGTTGCGGCTGCTGGTGCAGTCCAGGCAGTCCAGGCCCGACGGCGGAGGGGTGTCCACAGCTCCCGGGTGTCGATGGGGGGAATGCTCCGCATGATCACAAAAGACGAAGCACTGCCCGGTCGAGCCAAAGAAATGCCCATTTCCGAGAAACACTTCGTGCTTGGAACCCCTATGAAGGGTCCCTGGCCCGCAGGCTCTGACATGTTTGTTTTTGCGAACGGATGTTTCTGGGGCAGCGAGAAAGGCGTTTGGAGGCTTCCAGGCGGCGGCATTATCTCAACTGCTGTGGGGTATGCAGCCGGATTCACACCGAATCCGAACTACCAAGAAGCTTGCAGTGGTCTTACGGGCTCTACAGAGGCAGTTCAAGTGGTCTTCGATCCCGACAAGGTTTCTCTCGTCGATATCCTACGATGGTTCTGGCAGGCGCACGATCCCACTCAAGGCATGGGACAAGGCAGGGAGTGCGGAACACATTGTGAAACTTTCCTCTCCAACTCTACGTGTGCTCGAACGAACTGATAGCGACCTGTGGTTTATGTTGTGTGTGTGTCTTTTTAAATGAGGCAACGACCGCGGAACCCAGTACCGCAGTGGCCTGTACTACTTTAATGACGAGCAGAAGGAGATCTTTGAGGCCAGCAAGAAAGCTTACGAGTCGGAGCTCGAGAAATCTGGTCGCGGGCGTGGGCAAATCACGACAGAGATCATTTCAGCGGATGATTTCCCAGATCAACAAGTGTTCTACTATGCAGAGGCGCGGCTTGGGGATAACATGATGCCAAGCTCGCCTAGGCATTGAGGCATGTGTTGCCACAAGCTGCCAGGACTACCATCAGCAGTATTTGGCGAAGCCTGGGGCAAGACCGTATTGTTCCGCCCAACCTCAAGTCGTTGATCTGCCGGCCTTTGAAACCTGGTGCCCTCAGCACTTGCAGGCCAGGATTCTAAAGCACACCGTGCTCCTTCCGTTCTAACTCACCTAGCCCGAGCATGCACGACGCCTTAGGAGAAGTACAAGCCCAAGCTGAGCGAGGACTGCGCGGTTCACATTCATGACTAAGTCTGACATACACGGTCCTTGGTTGTTTTGCTTTTGCTGCTGCCTGCCGCTGTCATCTTGAATTGCAGTAAGGTGGGCCATGACAATGCTTGTTTGGCTCCGCATGCCAAGCAAGCCAGCCTGCACAAACAAGATCAATCCACAGGTGTTCATCCAGACAGAACAAGACCATGCAAGGTAGGCTCGTCTTGAGACATACCACCATCTCGCACTGCCGGAAGTGCTGTCGCGCCGCCTCTACAAAGCGGCCAAAGCCGAGCCGAGCCAGCAACGGTTGCCATGCCTCAAGCTGTGCGCTCCTCACGTCATGGCTTCCTACACGATTCCGTTGTTTGATGTTTGCCAAGTGTGCCTTTGGCGATCGCCAACCCATTTCCTCAGCTGGGCTCTTCAAACGGACCCCTGTGCAACGCTCTAAGAGGCTGACACAAGGATAGAGCACTCACTTATGAGGAGTAGACCTAGAGCCCGAATTGGACCGCAGATCCCTGACACTGAAAAGGGCAGAGGCGCAGACCTTCAAATTTTTTCTTTCATCCCCAAGTCACGATAACCCGATAGCAACAACCGATTGAGTGTCATGTACGAGGTGCAAACTATGCTTGTGGGAGCCGTAGCATTCGCATGGTTTCGCATTCTCACGCCCGCTAGAGCCGCGAGTGCCAGTCTTGATGGCTGCACTTCTGGCATTCGCCCCTTACTGTAACAGCCTCAACAGGAACGGTCCGCTTAGAGGCAAGAGTAGGTTCGCAACACAGAAGAGCTGGAATCTCACTGCCAACCAGGATTCCATGCCTTTGCAGGACTTTTGGGCGGAACACGGCCCCAAGCCACATTGCGTCATCATGTCTCCGAATGAGCCGATTCAGTGGCCTTAGTAGAGTAGCGAAGGCATCTTGGAATGGATTTTTGAGATGCCGCATCTGTCACTGATGCATCCAGTGCAGTTTTCAGCACATAGTTTTCAGCACATGTGCTCCCCATTTCTGTTCGAGATTGTTTCAACACTCAACTCTTTGCTACAAACCCTTCGCCCGCCACTCTGCATCCTTGCGGCAAAAGGACCTAAGGATACCTGAGCATCCCAGTGCCACCATGAGTCACAGAGCACAGCAACTAGCAGCTGTCCTGGCTTCATGCCAGGTCCGCCTCGGAGGCCAGTTCAGACAAGGGGGCGGCAAAGGAGGCCGCCTTTGGATCTTGCGAGAACACTTCACCTTATCGCGCATGAGCAGTGCATGCGAAGCATCAAGCTCCCGGAGAAGGCTCAAGCCTGCGTTTAAGGCATTTGAGGCACACCGTCAGCACACCAAGCGGCTTTAGCCAGCACACCAGCCCAAGACCCGCCAAGCTTTCGGGGTGATGGACAGACAGTATTGGACATTGACCACCAGATCCAGTGTCTTATCCACCGCTTCTTAGCTACTGTCCAAGACGCGACACAGCCAACCCATAGTTTG